AAAGCATGGAATTTGAGGCCCCTCCATAAAAAAAAAACTTAAGCCATTTGGTTGCATACTGTTTATTCTATTCGACCAGATCTTGTGGAATAGGAATGTAACCAAGTGCACTTGCAGTAGTTTGATTACTCATTGAACTTAGAGATCTGTAACTAATGACACTTGGAGCTCCTTTTTTATGAGGACTTTGAATATCAGAATTAGCATCATCGTCATCATCCATCAAACAAATTGGACCTTGGGTGGTTTGACCTTAAGAAATCTTTTCATCTATTTTGAATTCATTAGCACATCTCTATTGATAACTAAAACTAGTTAGTAAACAATTATCTGCAGTTCCAGAAACAGGAATTGTATACACCTTGCCCATTTCATCGTAAAATTCGATCTTAGTAGTGAATGAAACTGATTTTGATGACTAAAAGAGAGCGTCTACTCTTAATCTCTTTTTGGACATTCCAACACTTACTCCTTCAGGAAATCTCAATTTCACATTAATGTTTCCCTCTTCTCCAAAGACTTTGTGTCTAAGATTTAAATTCTCATATCCATCATTCAATATTTTAAATGAACATTTGGATTCAATATTTAATGGAACTGGAGGCAATAAGACCTCTCTTCTATCAAATAATATTTTTGGTTAGGCTGCTTTCCCTTTGAGTATTAATTCTAGATAACAACTTTCTTGGCTATCAATATACACTGGAATATTCTTTTGATAGTCATCTGCTTTTTATGGATTAAATGAAGCCTTTACTTTCACTGTCTATCCTGAATCTATCTTTCCCTCTGTTGGAGTGATATTGAATATCTTATCAGTTGTTATTGAGGTGACATCCATTCTCCAATACACTGGTTTCCTCTCTGGATTACTTAAGGTAATTTCTACAGTAGCAGCAAAACATTTCTCCAATGAAGTAATGATCTTTCTTGGAAATTCTACACATTAAGGATCCATTACAAATCGAGGTTTCAATCCTCTGCAAATTATTTATCTTGTCAAAGTAGTTAGACGACCATATCTATTTAAAGTCAAAGGAAGATCGAATGTGTAAGTTTAAACATCTCTTGGACTGAATTTTAAGTAAAATTCTAATTTTGAATTTCCTTGAATTGTCAATATGTATGATTTAGATTTAATCTTCTATTCCAATTCATCCTCATCAGCAGACGAAATAGCCTCAGATGCAAGTTCATCCTCTTCTGACTTTTTATCAGCCACTTATTTTATTGTATTCTCATCCTCATGAATACTCTTTAAAACACTTTTGTCAAGATCATCAACCGGTATCACTTGTAAGCATTCAATCCCATTAGGTGCTTCTGGAGAATCCTTATCCAAATTCAATAGTAATTCAGCAGATATTGATGAGTTATTAACCAATGTCATCTTTAAAGAACCTTCATTTCCCAACGTAGTTAATTTACCAAAATCAAATTAATCTTGTACTATTTCTACTTAGGGTATAATAGTTTTAACCAAGAAGGGAATTTTTAGAATTCTTCCACCTCTGATTATAATTTAAATATCAGTTTTAATATCTGTTTACTCTTTAGACATATATTTGACAGTTATATCCTTTGTCTCATCAGGTCCTATCTTACCACTACTTGGAGAAATGTCACAAGCAGCTGGCAGTTTTTCTGTCATAATAGAAAAGAAAGCATTCACCCTAGAAACATTACGAAGGGTAAAGTATTTAATTTCTGTTTTGCATACTAATAACTCCTTCATATCAACTATTGAATGCTTGATATTACACCTTGCATCACTCACTTGACCCACTACTTTAATTGCCTAATCAAGTCCGTCTATAGTCACTAGGATTAATTTATCTTCATCAACTCTAGTCTAATTATTAATAGAAACAGTATAATTTGTCTTGCCTTAGATAGGTTATGGTTTATCCTCTTTTATTATATAATTCGATGGCTTATAAATAATAAGCACATCTATAAACTTCCCTGCTGAGATCTCCCCCTTTTCCATGTTTACTGTGAATACTTTCTAATCACTCACTAACCATCTAAAAGCTGCAGAGGCATTTCCATTATTGGTTAATCTTACTGTCTCAAATGACTCTAATAACATATTTTCATCTTTGAAACCAAAATCAAATTTTTGAGATGACAATTCAATTTTCACATTCTAGATTTCAGCCTTCACATTAAATTCAAATCTGTGTTTTCCATTTATTACATAGGTGACTCTTCTACTGAATGATCCTAACTTATCAGATTTGAGTACTATCTTAAATCTACCTGTATCTGAAGATGGGATTATTTAGACTTTAGTATATGATTTCTCTAATTCAGGTTCTTCTGTAATTATTTAACAACTGATACTGGTTCTCAGATCATTCTTAATGTGAAAAGTTCTGATTATTTCACTCTTCACAAAGACATTGCCAAAATCTATTTCTACAGGACCAGCTTATATTTTCTTTAATTCTTCTCCTGTTAATTCCATTGCCACTTCCCTCTTTTCTTTATGAGTTTGTGCTTCCTGTGGAAAGGTTTTACGCATAGGTTATAATGGATCAGGTTGAAATAGCTTCTTTTAATTAGTAAATGGTTCATATTTATCAATAGGTTTTGTGACAAATAATCCATCACAGTATTCAGGTAGTTCTGGATCATTTTCATCAGTTTCTCTGCCCATGATTCCTAACTTGAATTCAATATCAATAGGTTTATCGTCTTCAGTACTTGAGAATTTCTATCTAAGTTCCTATTGCATAGATTCAACTCTCATATAAAGTATTTTGTCTCTCTTTTTTTATAATCTTGATTATCTTTCACTTTTCAAATACTCATTATATTTATCTTAATTTTGTCTTGTTTAATAAAATTATTATAATTTCTCTGCATATCTTTCTTACTCATACTCGCTCATCCCTTACATTCTTTATTGTTACTAGTGTAAACTTTATTCACTTTCATCTTCAAATAATTATCCAATATAATTTGTTGATCTTTTTGGTTGCATTTCAGATTTGATTTCTCTTCTTCTCATTTCTATATATTGTAATTGTTTTTCATCCACAAACTGTCTGTCTAAATCAAAATCTTTTGGTAAAGCCTCTGGTCCTCTTGTGACTGGCCTTTTTTCAGGATTAAAATTAGCATGTCCACTTAATTATATTTTAATAGGATATTGGGAATCTACTAGCAGTACATTTAAAGAAGAATTGACTCTTCCAACATTTTTAGGGGCAAAGGTAACTATGAATTGCCTCTTCATTTGTGGTCCCAATTAGTATTGAAGTGGAGACACCAAAAATTGTGGTGCTTTGCTAAATGTAACATCAATAGTTTAGTTTTTATGAGTATTTTCAATAACCAGAACCGCATCTCTAGTATCATTTACTTAACATTCTCCAAAGGCTAAAGCTTATTTATTCACCTTGACTTGAGGTCGAATGTGTTTACCCTATGCATGCACTATGAGAGTTTCTTCATTCTTTTCTCCAAAGAATTCAAAAAATAAAGAATATCCAAAATCAATGGGAGATTCGTACTTCAAATTATCGTTGGTTTTGTCTTAGAATGCATAATTTTCACATCTCATTTTCCCTTCTTCAGTAACTGGACCCTTGCATTCAATTTTTATGGGCATCTGCGCATATGGTTCCATGGAACCTTTCTCTGGTGTTACTCTGATTACTTTTTCCAACCATTCTAAGCCCACTTCATTTGGTGTTTGAAATCCTCCTACTGAAGAGGTCATAGTGTGGAAACCCTTTTTTATCAAGACCTTCCAATTTTATTTGATAGGCGTGTTGTTTACTAATGATCCAGAGTATTGTTTTGGATACCCCATTACAAGATCTTAGAAATCGATTGTCGTACTCTAGGCCTGATTTTAGTCAATAAAGAATATGGAGTAATCGACAGCAATACAAGAGACTTCAATAGTATCAATACTGTTATTCCAGTGTTTAATGACTTGAATACTTTGTCTAAAAATGCTTGCTTAATTAGTTTAATATTTAACTGTTATCTCGACTGTTTCATCTGGTTTAACCAAGAAGGTATGTCTTGGTTCGAATGTGAGTTTGTCATTTTTTAAGGTGATTTCTGCTGTCAATTCTTTTTCGATTTCTGAATCTCTTTCTTTTTCTCCTTTCTTTCTTCTCTTGTCTTCTTCTTCAATTGGAACATTTTTAAACCTGATCTTCCCTTCCTTGCATTTATTGATCTAACAATATCCCAAATCTAAAAATGTATCAAATTCAATGAATGGTTGAGGTTTAAGTGCTGATAATTTTACATTAAATTTAAAGCCATCCTCTGAAGTAATGACAAAAACATCGTAATAATCCTCAACGACTGTACATTCAAAATACACTACCAATATCATTGACAAACCTGCTGCCAATGACCCCTGCATATCATAGTCCACTCTAAATCGAGCTGGTGCGGTTGTTGGTTGAGTAATCCTTATTCTTCTTGGAATCTTAGTAAGATTACGGACTATCACTTGTTTCTATTAGGGAATCTGTTTGCGAATATTGTAAAATCTAAGTTACAACATTTAAGAAACACTCTTTACATTATATGATCCGGATTAATTTCGATAACCTCGTTATTAGACAATGAATCTTTGTAATGCACGTCCCGATTTATTTATTATGTGCTCGGACGAAATTTAAAACCTGTTGATGACATTGTCTTCTTCTATCTAAACCCTTCACTTGCTGTTTAGGCCCTATTCATTAATATTAAATATATGAATTATTTGTAATTTTAAAATAAGAAAGAGAGCATCTTCGCACGATTTACAATTATCATCAATGAAATCTCACATCATTACTCACGTATTGTTCAAAATCTCATTGGCAACCAAGAAATAAATTCAAAATTCTAAACTAAAATAAGATAACTGAATATTTAATATGCAACTCAGGCTCACTAAACATTCTCGAATTGTTCTACATTTGAAGAATTATTGAGATCAAGATAAATTTAGACTGAAAGAACTTGATGAACATTATAAAAATAGAAGAATTTCAAGCAATCATTTTATTATAAATTAATTAATAAATTAATCACCAACTCAATTTGAGACTCTCTCACTTAAATGAGGGTTTTATGTTTTGATCAATTTATGTATCTGTATAGAATTAATTTCTCATTTTGAATCAATTTACTTAACTATGATGGGATATTGGATTTGATTAATAATATTATTATTAAAATTAAATATGTGGTTATACTTAATTGTATTCTTACTTGCTCTTATCATTGGATATGCTTTGCGAATCTATTTAAGAGGGAAAGAGTGCAAAATAAGAAGAGATATCTCAAATAAGACTATTCTCATCACGGGAGGGAGCAAAGGAATCGGACAAGAAACCATTCGGTAACTAGCTAACTATAATTGCACAATAATATTTGGAAGCAGGACCAAACCAACTGAATTCTTGAATCATTTGAACAAATACTACTCCAAAACAACCATTAAATACATTCCTTTGGATTTATAAAATTGGAAATCAATATAATAATTTGTTGAATAAGTTAATAAGGAAACAAAGAAAATTGATATCTTAATCAACAATGCTGCTATAATGGGAACCTTAACTAGAGAATTTACCTCATATGGTTTGGAAGCACAATTTGGCACAAATTACTTAGGGCCTTTCTATTTGACTTAACAATTGGTATTGTTGTCACTTATACTAGTTACCATTATTAAAAAAATCAGATAGTCCTAGACTTATTAATGTGGCTTCGGTTGCTCATACCTATGAGGGGTTGGATTTTAATGATATCAATTGTGATAAGTGGGCCAATAGTATATTTTGGAGTAGAATTTACACTTATCGAGCTTACGGTAACACCAAATTGAGTCTGATATTGAATGCTCAAGAGTTCTCTAAACGAACTGGGATCAAGGCATGTTCTTTACATCCAGGCGTAGTTAGGAGTGAGGTCTTGTAATATTAGTTATCATCAAAATGGTTCGACTGGCTATTGAAGATATTGTGGCCGTTCTTTGCCTACTTCACTAAGGATTGCTATTATGGATGCCAGACGACTCTATATTGTATTATGATGAGTGACAATCAACTGGTAGATGGAGGGTATTATGATAATTGCGAGTTGTCGAAACCTAAATACACTTCCAAAGAGAGGGCTGAATAATTGTGGGACTTTACTTTGGAATTAATTAAGAAGGTTGAAAAAGAATAGAAATGAATAAATTTGTTTATTTATTTATTAATAACAGTAGTATTGAAGTTTGGAAATTATTCTGAATATTAAATATCATGAAATAAAAACTTTTTCTTATGAAAACTCATTCGTATGCTTTGGATCATAGTTATGGTCCCAAACAGAATATGAATACTTCCCAGGTGACTCGCTCAATATAACCATCCCCAAGATCGATAGCCTCTTAGAAGAGTCAAAATAGTGTGATTGAATTGCCTACTCGTTTCTAAAGTTAGGATTTAAGTGTAATCTTAGAATCTGAGCAAGATCCTTAAATGAAACGTAAGTATTATTTGAAAATGAAGGATACAAATATTAATGCAAGAATCCATAGTTGGTGAGATTGGAGAAGATTTAAGAATTAGTTTACAACAAGAAATTATAAAATAAATGCAAATATACGGAGAAGAACAGAAACATAAAAAAAGCAGTATCAGTTCCAAAAGGAAGTGTATCAATTATGTTGAATAATTAAACATAAAAACATTCCAATTTCAATCTAACCAAAAAAGTAACTGCTAGATCGAAGTTTAAAATGAAATGGAAAACTATATAGTGGTTGTTAAAAAATAGAAAGGAAGCCATCACGTAGCTCTTTAGTAATTATCAAGTTATGGTTAAATATGCAAAAAAGAAATAAAATGGTCTCAATAAAGCTGAATTTACAGACTTATTGAGTGTAGTCGGATTGGGCACTGATCTTTCAGAAAAATTATTTTATGTTTTTGATGAGGATCAGAGCGGCACAATAGACTATAAGGAACTAATTGTAGGATTAGAGGTCTTTAAGGAAGACTCAATCGAAGAGAAGATGAAAGTCTTTTTTGAAATTTGTGATACTGACGGTAGTGGAGCCATTTCTGAATAAGAATTGTATAATGTCTTAAAATTAAATATTGCCTCGTTCAGTGATAGATAGAAATTAAAGAAAACCATTTCGAAAATCTTTATAGAGTGTGACATTAACGGGGATGGTTAATTAGACAAACAAGAAATCTTAGAAGCTGCGAAAAATAATTTCACCTTAAGATAACTATTACAATAAGGAATAAGAGATGTTAAGCAAATAGATAATTTGATTGACAATGATCTTCATGAGAATTTTAATGAGTGGGTACCAGCTTCTGCTAACTTTGTCAATTACAAAGAAGGCATTTTCTATCCGTATAATGATAAACTATTACAAGCATTTAAGGAAATGGAAGAAGTATGTCATAATTATTATATATAGATTTATGATAAAAAAGAGACAATATTCAAATATGTTAATAGAGATGAATAAAGCAATTTATTTAATTAAGATGCATGAAATTAAATTATATTAAAATTTATTTAACTTAAATTTTAATACTATCTAAATGGATTTTCGTTAGAATCATCTTATTCATAATAATCTATGAAAAGAAAATTAAATTGTTCTTTCTTATTGGATTCTTTTGTTAAACTTTTATAATACTAAATGAAATGTATTGTTGAAATTTCCTCTTTTTCATTACAAATTTAGAACCATTTTGTTTTTAGTAATTAAAATTAAGATATATTCTTGGTTAATTCTAAAATGTTAGATATTTATTCTGTCCATTATAAATTAATATCAATATCTTTTTTAAAAAAGTATACAGAAATAACAAAATATTGTATGAATTTCACTAGGATTGATCTATTGAAATAAAGAAATTTTAGATCATAGATAGTTTGATTGAATATTAATCTAATGTTGTAATATAAATCAGCTAATTGAATAAAATTTCTTGTAATATCTCATTACTTGCTATTCTTGACCTCCACAAGGCAACAGCTTGGTTGGGATATTGAGGGGTCTGAGTGTATTTGCACTAACAAGCATAAGGGATGAAGAAAGACTCAAGAAATCTGATAATAGGCTCTCTTATATGTTTAATTTGAGAGGTTCTCTAAGGGCGTCATCTTTACAACACCTCCTGAAATCGTTTAATTCTGCGTCTTAGATTAGGACATCGTTATAAATTTAATATAAACTGATTGTTGCTGATGATGAAAACGTCGGATAACTATCTATGCCTATTTTAATAGTCATACCTATGATATGAATAAATTAATCTTTTACAAATTGTCCATAATCGTACACATCATCATAGACTTAGATTTGCATATTTTTGAAAGCAGGTGTATAAAGTGTGAGTATTTGAAACCCAACATTTGATAAATTTTAAACCTTATGAGCAGTTATCACCACTATCTATGGATTGTCCAGTTTTTCTACTTTGTTATTTTTAATTGCTTGATATAATTCATGTACAGATGCTGTCTTTTACAAATAAGAATAGTAAATTCTAACGATTGAAGAT